GCAGATGACGGTGACCGGGATGAGGGTGGAGGTGGGGAACAGGGAGCCCTCGTAGTGGTGGTCGTCCAGGTTGTACTGGTCCATGGCCTCCGCCCCGCCGGCGTGAGGGTCCACCTGGGGTCTGGCCCAGGGCATGCCAATCCCACCGGGGGGGGGTCGGGCTGGGAAATATGGACTCAACAACCGTCTGAGGAGAAAAAAGGAACACGGGAGGTGTAAACCTACGTTTTCAGCTGGTTTCGTTTAATCAAATACTTAAAAGTCAACCTTAATTTTGACTACTACTACTATTATTTTGCAAAGACTTTTCAATGTACTCCCTTCAATTCAGAATCATTACTCACAAAATGTATCATTTTGCTTCAAATATTTGCACACCTGGAAGGCAGCATCAGGTCTAAAGTTGCATCGTGTATCGTGTTTCTGGGTTAAAATGCAGATGTGAATGCAGTAAAGTGGTGTAAGCTGAGTCTAAAGCTGAGTCTGAGATGAGTCTAAAGCTGAGTCTAAAGCTGATGAGTCTAAAGATGAGTCTGAGATGAGTGTGAGCAGGTGAGCGTACCTGAGAGCTGCAGCGGGCGGCTGGTCTCGTCCCCGGCCAGAGTCTGAGTGAGCTGTGAGCAGCAGGAGACCCAGATGAGAGAAGAAGGAGGGAGCACCTCCTCCCCCCTGAGGAGTCCAGGAGCATGAAGGGGGGGGGGGTTGCCTTCTGCCCCTGGTGCCTCAGTTATCTTCCTAATCAAATGATAGCAGAACACATGGTGAAAAGGTAACATTCAAAGGGAATGGGATTAAAGACGCTCCTTCCTTAGAATGAATAATGCTTAATGATTTATGCTGAATGCATTTAGATATTTGTTATTGGACATGGCTTTTTTTTAACACTGTCTTGCAATGATTCCAGAAAAAAATTGTACTTTGTGCCTGATTATTCAGGATGCTCTTCCAAAGGAAGTAAAAGATAACGAACAAAGACACAATGAAAAAGAAAAAGGAAGGCTGTGGTAGTGTGAACAGGTGTGATGCTACACAGCTCTGTAGTGTGGAAGAGATTAAAAATGTCCGCCGTTTTGAGTAACTACAACAAACTAAAAAAGAAACGCAATGTCATAGGTGATGAGAATTATTTTAATAGCAGAAGTTATGATGCCAAATAAAAACAAAGCAATCAGATCATGATGGTGGTGGAAAAAAGACAAAAACAATAAGTAAAAATGCCATTTTAGGCCACATCTAACACAGAAAGACGCATTTGTTTTCACATCACTTCCATGCTTTTTGAGTGGGAACTCAGAAATTTGATTTTAAAAAAACGCTCTCCCAACTCCTGCATTACAATAAACTCCCAAACAGAGGTGTATTTTTAGTACCAGGCGAGCAGGTTTGTCTATGTGATGTCCACAGTGACACGTTCTGCTGGTTAGGAGTTTCACATCCATCAGACCTCGCTGACAGGAGGGTTTGGGCAGAGGTGACCTGCAGCCCGGACCTCTGAGGGTCAGCGGGACCATCTCTGTGTCACTGTTTGCTCACGTCAAAGCAGTGTGGCGGAGAAAGCTTGTTTTTCTGTCTGTTGTTTTCTGTTCTCTTTCTTTTCAAGGCTTCGTGATCCATCTCTCAGCAGCGCCCGGCCTCGTTCACAATGCCGTGACCAGGATGAGTGAGCTGGGCCTCGTAAATCAGCGCCGCGCTGACAGGAAATGCTGCGTTTTACCCCCAGTAGCTTCCACGGGGTCTAAGAAAATGAACTCTGGAAGCCAGGTGGAAGTATTAGAGTTTGATTAATTCCCAAGGAAATATGTTCTTGTTTTGAGCCATCAAGAAAACAAAAGGAAAGAGAACTATAGAGACACTTATCATGGAGCAGAGTGTGGATTCCTTCATGAATCAGAAAATAATCAGCAGCTTTGAACCTTGAGTTGTCGTGAAAATCAAGTATTGCGAACCAACAGAGCAGGTTTCGCTAAAGCCTCCGTTTCCTCGTCTTTCATTAACATAAAGCAGGCTTCTGAATGGGCCGAACTGATCCTGTGGAAGTCTATGGAGAAAAGAAAGGGGAAGCCTCCATTAAAAAAGTGTGCTGCAAAACCATTTTGTCAAGATTTCAGGCAGTTGTGACATCACAGCCTCTGAGCTGCCCGCTCTCATTTCTCATTTCCCAACCTCTGAAAAGGAAACGGGCACAGAGGAAACGTCCAATTAGCTTCTTGTACTCCAGTCAAACATAAAAAGCCAATAGCTGGATTCTGAGGGCAATAAGAAACTGAACCCTTCACTCCAGCAGTAGTAGCAGTTTCAACATTTACTCAGTTTAGATGCTGAGGATTGTGGGACATCGAGAGCTGGTACAGATGTCCATTTTTTTTCCAGGAACCACGTTTGGCACATTAGTAGCGACTTGACTCACATGTCGAGTCAGAGACAGATGGAATTAGGGAGATGAGACGGATTCATTTTCACCGATTGTAAGATGGCAGCTCACTCCAAACATAACATTAGGTATAAATGTATTACGATCCTCAGCATACAACATCCTAGTTGTATAAAAGGCGTAATAACCTGATCAGGATATGAACTGGACCTTGGATGGAGACTAGTGGGTTCCTGTTAGCAGAAATAATTATTCAAATAAACGTTTTAAAACGTTATTTAGAATTTATTCATTCACTTTGGTCTCAACAACAAAGGCTGTTCTTGTATTCAATACTAAATGGCTCTTATTTTATCATTCAAAAAACTTTAAAAGCTTAAAACCCTAAAACCTGATGTTTATTATATGTTGAAATGCAAGTTTCTGAAGTCCCTTAAAGGAAAAGAAAGAACCAAACTGAGGAACCAGAGACAAACAAAGCTGACACATGATGAAGAATTATAAATTTTTTATTGTGCATGGATCCTTAGTAGATATCATGGCTATACAGATACACTTTAGATACATATCTATGATTATACATCTTTTCCATAACGAACATTGTAAAGTGATATGTCTGGTAGTATGTATAGTATAACAAATTTTCATTTTGGAATGTACGGTGTATGAGGTAACTGCAAACATTAAAATTACATAAAAATGGTCTCCATTTTTGTGCATATTTTACTCATTTTTGTAGCATTTTGTTAATCTCCCCAGCCAAAGGTAGTAAGCCGGTGGTGGAGAGGCGTTAAAATGGCACACGTTGCAATCGCTATCAAAAATAGGAAATTTGAATTCTTTAAATGACAAAGAGAAGACATTTGCAGAATGTCTGAAAGACCAATTCATGTAATTATTCAGGACGTTTTGCAAGGTACCTGCATCTTTACAGTTGCAATAGCAGTGATCTGCCCAAAACCAAACAACACTAGACCCCTACAGCCAGATCGCCGCTGACCCATCAGTATTGGCAATCTGTTACAAATACTTAACACGGAGAAAAGGCAAATTTAGATTCACAGGAAGTACATGATAACACATTTTATATCTGCCAGTTGCATTCCATGATTCATGACTACTCAGGATTCTTCTGTGGAGAGTATTAACTTATATTACTTCAATATTATAAAAAAATATACTTCACACATGTATGACCTGACAAAAGAAACCAAAATAAATCTTAATATATAGAACTACTTTCCATCTTACATGTTAACGAACATCAAATGAATGCGGCAAAAGTAAAAGGAAATAAAACACACTTTAGTGTTGTCTAACACTAAAAAAGAAAAAGAAAAACACAGCCAAAATTAAGAGAAATAAAGACAGAAAAATTCTCCCGAGATTTTTTTCCTTCTCAAATTAAGGCCTCTGAAACAACTGGAACAGTTTTCCCCTGTTTATTCTTTTTTTTCGTTCTTTTTTTTTTTTTTTGCAGATAGATTAGCTGTTTCAGTGACATGTTTTCTGATACTACAACTTTTAAAACACCCAAAACACCAAGTAGGGCTTGCACAATCTCAAAGTGTGTTCTATAAAATGCATCACAAGACCAAAACGCAGTCATTTGAGGTTTTCTCCACTAATGTGCAAAATTAATTACAGGGGAAAACAAAATTAAACAAAAACATACAAGAAAGCATACATTTTTTGTGCTGAACAACAATATTTCAGAGTAAAGCAGCTGCATGATTGTAAAAACAAGCTACAGTATAACTATATGATAGTAAAAATAATTAGAACTCACTGTTAGTTTGGTTTGTTTTCTAATTTTAATGAGCTTTTTTTTTTTTTTCCTTTAGCCTACAGATCTTCATGCCCTCGCTGTACAAAAATATACGAACATTTCTCCAGTCATTTTCGCATCCTCAAACATTCTGAACATCAAAAAGGTTTGAAAGTGCTAAATGAACCTTCTAAACTGTGAACCACGTTTTTGCTTCCATTTCTTTTCTCACAGATCTCCTCAGACTCCTGCATGCTGGAAGTTAAGTCCCTTCATCTGGCCCTGAAGTCCCACCGGCTGTCTGGACACTCCTCTGTGCAAACACTGGCCCGTCAGGTCCCCCGGTCACATAGCACATAGGCTAACCAAACACCTACATACTAGTTTTGGAACACACCTATCAAAAACAGAGTCATACTGGACATGTTAATGGAAATATAAATAATGACTATTTCTATACATTTTTTATATACGCGCCGCTTCCTCCCACTTTTCCACAAAGTAAAACAAAACCGTATGCTTTCCGAGTTCCTTTCGCACATGGGGCTAAATCGTGATGGATCCTAAATCTGAAGTGAATAGCGGACATCACAAACTCGGGGTGGAAAAAGGCTGGACGGTCCGGAAGGTATCACAGGTGCCAAACGAGAGGCCGCATCCTCAATTTAAACCCATTTCCCCGCTCCGGCTAACGCAATTACTCTGTTCAGACCGGAAACGTTACAAAACCAAGAATACAAAACAACAGAGATGTGGGGTGTGGGGGTTGGTGGGTTTAGGGGGGGGGGGGGGGGGTGGGGGGGGGGAAAAATAAAGCTATAACCCTGCGGGGGGGGGGGTGGGGGGGGGGGTGTGAACTGCTCATTTAATGACGAAGTACTGGATGACGAACGCGATGAGGATGGCGATGACGGCGAACACCATGAGGAGGAGGAAGGCGCACTGCTCGTCCGTCAGGCTCTGCCGGCTCCGGCCGGACTCGCCCCCGCCGCCCCGGGCCCCGGAGGCCGCCGCCGTTACGGCGTCGCCGCGCTGGGGGGGGGGGAGCGTCACGGTGGGGCTGTAGGGCCCGCTCAGCTCGCTGGCGTCCTGGCACTGGCGGATGGCGCAGACCCTGAAGCGGTGGTCGCTGCTGGGCTGCAGGTTCTGAGAGTGGAAGGACGTGGCCGGGCCTTTGTAGGCCTGAGAAACAGGAAGGGGGGGGGCTCAGGTTAGTGCTGAACAAACAGAGGGAATTATAATAATAATAACCCTAGCCCTAACAGGAAAAAAAAGGCTTCCCATCAATCTGCTTCAGAAGGCTGCGTTATTTTTTAAATTTCTTATTTAACCTTTATTTAACCAGGAAGTCCCATTGAGATTCAGAGACCTGTCCAAGGTAGCAGCCAAACCACAAGAAATTCATACATATTGCATTTTACATAATAAAATCAAAGCAATATGTTAAAACACATTGAGCATCTCAAGAAAGACAAACACATATCTCCATCACTACATCCTTCATGGTCGCTTTAAATTCATTAATGGACACTAGAGTTTTTTTTATTTGAGCACATTTCTGGAGGTTATTCCAACCCCAAGGTGCAGAGTAGGAGAATGCAGTTTTTCCCAACTCAGTTGAAGCTCGGGGTGCATTAAAAAGTAACCACTGATACTGATAACTACCGGAACTCACAGAGAGGAGGTTACAGAGGTACAGTGGGAGTTTACCAATTATTGCTTTATACATAAAGATATACCAGTGCTGTTTTCTACGAATTGTTAGTGATGTCCAACCAACTAGATCATAAAGAATGCAGTGATGAGAAAGGGACTTTGTAATGAATCGGTGGTACACTGAGTCAATATGACGCAAGATGGAGGATGCAGCATGCATGTACAATATATCTCCATAATCAACCACAGACCAAAAAGTAGCTTCTACAAGTTTTTTCTTAGCACTGAAGGTAAAACAAGATTTGTTTCTGAAGAAAAAACCAAGCTTTACTTTAAGCGTTAGCAAACAGCTTTCCCTTTCTTAGCTTTGAGCATGGCCCAATAAACAGACTAATATCTGATTCACTTCCGTCTCTGAAGTGGAAGGAGGCAAAGCCATCTGCTTTAACCGTTTGCCAAACGGATACGCCCACTTGTTTTCAGTGGGGCGGATCTGTGATCCCACAAGGGATCCAGTTTGTTATTCTCTTTAAAGATAACTTCCGGGATCCACTAAAGTGTTTCATCAAAGTTAGAAAAGAGCTAAGTCCAAGATTTACTGGCTCTTTTGGTTTTCAGGAGGTAATCTATTGGAGAAAAAGGGTTTCACAAAAGCTGCTGTGGGCAGGCTGGTGTTCCCGTCCACAGCTAAAGAATGACCTCCCTTTCATAAACAGGTTTTTGAATCCAGTGTGGCCAACAATGAGGAAACGGAGCACAGCCACATATTTCAGCTTCCTGATTCAATTGCTGTGTGTGATGTGGTGAGATTAGCATAGGCCTAAAGTGGCCATTACTCCATGTTAAGGTGGCTGCAGGCCATTAGAGGGGATGGAGACACCTGGGATGCCTCATGGATCAATGACCTTTGCAGGGGAGGGCAGTTAAAGCCAGCGGTGACTAATACAGAGAAAGGATTACGGCCCTGGATCCATCTGTAACCCCCCGTGCATTAAAAGGCCGCTATGACGAATGGAGGGTCAGAGCGAGGTAACGGGGAAGGATGCTCCAGCCAGAGCCAGACTTTCTCACAGTACCTGTTTGAACTCCGAATTCCCCATCATGCACTGCAGCGTGTAGATCACTGGGTCTCCCTTCATGGGCGGGAGGGCCTCCCATGTGACTTCGCAGGAGTTGTCGTCCAGACGCTCGACTTTAGGAGCTGGGAAGTAAAGATGGAGGAAAAAGAAAAGATGGGCACTTCAAATTAGGTGGGAAACTATTTCTGAGGATCCTCATAACTGAGGATGTTGCCAAGCATCACTTATAGCACTGGACCTAAGGGCCAACCGTACAGGAAAACACACAACTCCTGACACACAACTCAGGTGTTAGCATAACCTGTAATCCTACACAAGAAGCCCAACATCCATCTGTTTGCACTGAAAGACTCTGAGGTTCCTGACTGCAACTTAGATTAGCAAAAGGCTAACAGATAACAGTAAAGTTTGATCCATAAAACTCAAATTCGCACACTTCTTTATACAGGCAGTTGGCACTTTTAACAAAAAAAAAATACTGGACCGGTGAAGTGTTGTGGTAATAACAACAATCCACTTCAGTCCCGAGTGGCTTCTAGACTTTCTGTTGAACTGTTTATGTCTGAGAGTCCACTTTACTGTGGAGACAAACAGTGTTAAGTAACACTGACAATTCAGCTTCACGACTGCCCCCTTTAAAGCGCCACTACACTGAGAATAAAGCCCTGTATCCTCATTATTGACTTCACCACGCGGGATCAAGAGAGGCTTTGCAGAGGCTGGCAGAGAACAGACTATAAACAGCCGAACAACCCGACTCGAAGTGAGTCCGCGGCCGCCGACTCTTTCTCAAATGAAAGTCAAGCTTTGGTCAAACGAGGTTACAAACCCAGCACGCCGGCTGTGTGAAGTAAGTGTTCCTGGACATAATAAGAACGGTAGCAAAAGGAGACGGAGACGACACGAGGAGAACAGAGACAGGCAAAGCCAGAGCAGAAGGCGGGTGGCAGCGTACCTTTGACGGGGGCAGGAGGAGAGCGCGGGGTGGTGAACGTGTAAACATTGGAGAAGGGCCCTTCGCCCGCCTCATTAAAGGCCTGGATGCGGAACGTGTAAGAGGTAGACTCATTAAGCCTCTGGACTTTGTGTGTGTGGCATGGTCCTTTGTACAAGGATGTAAATCTACAATGACAGCATCACATAAAAGGGAGAAAACAGATTAGATATGTGTAAATAAGAGAGAAACTCCTCAGAATATACAGCCTAATGGAATTTTCCCACTCACACCTTCTCAGGACAACTCGGTTTTCCTAAATCTAGTGAGCATACTCAGTACAGACTGAAAGCCAATGATTGGCCGGGGAGTCAGGTCACAGGATCCCCACCCATTTTAAAAATGCGTACGACCTCACTTGTGGTGGAAAACCTCAGAAACCGAGCCGAGAAGGTGAGAAGGTGAGAGTGGAAAGGGGCCGTTTCCGTGTTGACCGGCACACTGACCTGCCCGTCTTGTCCCCCATCTGCAGCTGATACTGGAGGGCGTCTGAGGAGGCAGCTTTGGTTGGGCCGTCGCCCCACTTGAGCCTGAGGGTCTGGTGGCTGAAGGCGGTGCACTCCAGGCGGGGGGGCTGTGGGGGGAGGGGCTTTGTCTTCAGCTTAAAGGTGTGACTAAAGGGTCCTGTGCCCAGGCTGTTCTGGGCTTGGATTCGGATCCTAAGAGGGAAGTAGAGAAGTAAAAAACATCAAAGACTGCACTTAACATGACCTGAACAGTGTGGCTTTAAAGAAGGACAGAAAGGCGTCAATTTCACATTTTGGAAATGCCAGACGAAAACTACTTATGTGTGAGGCTGGTTGAAAATGAAAGCAGAAATGGGCAAATATCACATTGTCTAAGTATTCCAGATTTTTTACTTTTACAGACACAGAGTTGCATCAGGATCCAAAGAGTGGAGGATGAATTCATGTAGGGGAGTAGAGCTGGCAGGCCTAAGTCATCATGTGGAAAGAAAAACAGGCGTTTGCTTTGGATGTAAGGGCTACAGGGTTGTCAAAAGTATCAATACTCAAAAAATTATTGATACAAAAATGTTGTATCCGGATACTAGACTCATTTTCAAAAGTATCGATACCACCACCACCGCAACTCTATCCATAATATTATGTTAAAATAGTGTATGTTAAATAGGTTTGAACAATAAGTCCAAACAATTTTAACCAAAAAAATATTTATTTCTCAAAATTATGAAGGTTGGATGGTTAGGGTTAGGGTCATTAATGTGGGCCACCGGCCACGATAACGTCAGTAACAGGTCAGTTTGAAACGAAAGACACTAACCTTTCAAAATTCAGTAAAATTTTGGGGTCTTTGTTTTTATCTTTGTGGTATCGAAAATGTTATCGAGTAGCGAATATTTTCCTGAGTATCGGTATCCAGTTGAAAATGTTTGTATCGTGACAACCCTAAAGGGCTACAGACAGCTTTGGTCTTCAATTAACAAATCATTACTGTGTAAAGAAACAATACCAGTCAGGACTAATCCAGAGCTGGAGCTGATCCAGGCCGAGTACCGAGGTTTTTATAACCCTATGAGGCCAGAGTTTGCACGGACCTGTAGCTGGTGTCGGGCTGCAGATTCTGGATGATGTGTTTGGTGACGGGGCCGATAACGATGGGCTGTTTCTCTCCAACGTCAATCAGGTAGGAGGTGATCTCCGAGCCGTGGTCACAGGGAGGGTCCCAGCAGATGCCCAGGCAGGTGGAGGGAGAGTAGACAGGGGGGGGGAGGGAGACGCCGTCCTCTTCCTCCTCCTCATCGTCATCCGCCGGAGCCTCGAACCTCTGCAGCTCGGACTCCTTCAGCACGTAGAGGCTGCTGATGGCCGCCGGGGCAGAACAGGGAGTCTGGCACAGAACCGCCTCGCTGAAGGGCCCAACTCCGGCCACGTTCACGGCCTGTGAACACAACACCACAGGAGAGCGCGTAACGTCCCTCTCTGTCCACGAGGTGGAGTTCCAATGTAAACATTTCAACCAAGCCAAACAAGCATGCTTTTTTTTTCTGCTTTGAAAACACCGGTCACATAAGGCTGGGGATGAATTAGTCACTGGCAGACAAATCTAGTCAAACATCTGATGGCAACTCATAAAAACACAAACCTGCTGTAAATTTAATGACCTTCTTTGCACAGTGTGATCTTTGGTATTTTTATTAGGTATTAGGGATGTTCCAATCCAGCTTTTTGCACTTCCGATCTGAAACCGATCCCGGACCATCAGAGCATGTATTAAAGTTTAAAGTTATTTATTCTACTTACTTAGTTGTCAGACTCATGTTGAACAGGGATTTACTCTGATAACAACTCAATGGTTAGAACACAGACCTGTGGGTTACAGATGCTAATGCTAATGCTCGTGTTGGTTCGGACTTTTAATAAAAACTGGAGCTGGAGTCTGGATACGCATTTTTTTGCAAATATGGGCGACCGATTCGATTCAGATATTGGATCGGGACAAGCCTATTAGGTATATATAAACTAATAATTTAACTGGAGGCCCCTGGAAATGAGTTACAAAGATGATGGCTTTCTAAAAAGAAAAACGTTGTGAATCGAGGCTGAAATAAAATACAAATCCAGCACAGTGTCTGTTAGAGCTTACCTGCACCCGGCAGAAGTAGCTGGTGGCGGGCAGGAGCCCCTTCAGCTCGTGGCTGAGTCCGGGCCCGCTGTAACACACCTGCATGCTGCCCTCGGCTGCTCCCCACTCAAGACGGTATTCTGTCACTGGGGCTCCGTTGCAAGGAGGTGCCTAAACGTGACAATGAGCGCTGATTTAAAGCGTGGGTCCATGATATTGGGAGAACTGATGCCCGTCGCACACAGGCTGAGGCTGCTCTTACCTCCCAGCTCACAACCACACAGCTGGGTGATTTGCAGGTTGTTGAAGGGGCCCTGCACTGCTCGGGGGCTCCGGGGCCGGTGGTGACATCACAGCGCTCCGAAAGAGGTCCGAACTACAAGCACCAAAGAAGAGCGAGCATTTCAAACAAGTGGTCATTTTTTAAATACAATAGCTGAGAAACCAAATCCCTGCTCACCCCAGCCTTGTTCGCTGCCTTCAGCCGGAAGCCGTAGGTTTTGCCGGGCATTAATCCTCCCACGGAGCAGTCCAGCTCCGGCCCCTGGTAGACCTCCCTGCCCTCCTCAGATTGTGGCCCACTCACTTCTACGCTGTAGCACGACACCGGGCTTCCACCGTCGATTTGAGGGGGAACTGAGGAGTTTGCAGAAAAACGGTTAATGCTGCATGATAGTTATGCACTAGACGTACACACATGAACCAAAGCCACAAATGCATCCCACATAGATCCAGGCTGGAGAAGAATGACTCACCCCAGCGCAGTTGCACCTCCCTGGCTTTGGGTTTGCCCACCAGTCGAGGGGGCTGGCAGGGCCCCGGGGGCACTGGGGGAGTCTGGACCTGCAGGGTCTCCGACAGCTTGCCGGGGAACACAACACACCAATTAAGACTTACAGAAAATAACAAATTGACAATCTCACACCCTCCTCTCATTCGCTCTGGCACAAAGGACACTGGATACTATTGTTTTTTTTTTTACCAGCTTATCAGGCTGATTCAGACCAGGGAGGGGACAATTTTGCATGCATTGTTGATTTAAAACTAAACAGGGATTGAGTAACAGAGCATTTCCCTCGGAGAAGGCAAGACAGATTATCTGGCAATTGAAAACTTGACAGAAATAAGAACTCTGTGGCAAAGTGAGACATGTGAATGCTGTGTCACATTGTGCTGCACCAAAGACAGGAACTTGTCTGAGTGACTCATGAGTCTCTCCCAGCCCAGTCACGAATAAATGCATGTATTAACATCCGATAGAAAAATGAATGAAGAGTATGTGTAAACTGAATTAATTAAGGAAAACATCCTCTGACACAGGCAGGCAGGGTTAATTGATTATCAAGCTTTGACTTGTACTTTCACAGAAGCAAGTGATTTAATTTCCCTGCCATACGAGAATGACGACACGACAAATTCCTATTAAATCCCACCGTAAACAGAACGTATATCCAGGATAAATTAAGATGACATCAACATTGCCAGTATACCTCAACATTGCAACTCGAATAACAGCCAATAAATGTGCCTATAATTAAAAAAATCTGCAAAACATATCATGGAATGGAAATGTGAAACTATTATTTTAAATATGAATATGCTGTTTGTTACCTAGCTAAAGATGTTTAAGAAATGCAGTCTGAGTTCCATTTGAATTTTAACTATCAAAAAGTGTAAGTTGATCATCTTTTAGGCTGCGGTTCCACGGAATTGTTAGTGATCATGGAACACTTTCAATTCTTGAGCAGAGACACAAGTGCGCACACGATCGCACGTGCACCAACGCTGAATGACTCACCGGGCTTTGCCCCCCCTCGCTCATGCAGTAAACTCGTGTTTGGTAGGAGCAGCCAGGCTTTAAACCCTCACAGAGATGCTCCAGAGCCGGCCCCGAATACACCAGCCCCCAGGAAACCCCTACAAACACAAACAATTCTTAAATTAACTCATTTAAATCACTGCTATGAAAGGACCTTTTCAGATTAACCAGCGACTTACCACTTAACCCCTCGGACAGCTCCACAACATACTTTGTGACTTCGGCTCCACCGTTATCTTTAGGGGGCTCTAGATATTAGGAAAAACATATTTCAGCATTATAATACATATTTAGCTTTTCATGAGAATTTGACGTCTTTTTAAAAGAATAAATCTATGAAGCAGGTCATTAAATTAGAACACGAGATGATTACCTCGTGGCTTATCTGTGTCCCTACAAAACCTAAAAACAGCTTATAAGTTCGAATTGCTTGTTGCTGATGTGGATAAAACATTATGCGGACCCGTTCCCCCTGAAAGTTCCTCTGGAAACTCATTTGAGGCACACAGAGAAACACAACGTTTTCATAAGGGTGGACATGATCTTTCATTTGAAAAAAATGGAGGCATGAGCCTGGTATAGTGCTGAAGCATGCGTTTGTCCAGTGAGGAGCATGAAGGATTCCTGCTGATGTCTAAATAGAGGAGAAAATTGTATATCATCTATAGAACAGACTACCGGGGATGTGATCCGTCTCATCTATCGTCAGGCGCAGCTCCATAAGAAAAGTGAATCTGTAAACTAAACTTGCCAGGCTGTCATCTTCACGCAAGACTGAGTGGATTCCTAAAGGAAATCCATTAGGGAGGCTCACCCCAGGCCATTCTGAAGCTGTTGGGCAGGACTCTTCCTCTGATGACGGGTCTGCAGGGACTGGTGGGCCTGTCTGGCTTCGTAATGAACTCCACCACCTGACTGGGGTTGCTCTTCCCTTCTGAGTTGTATGCTGCCACCTGGTGAAAATGCACAAACACAGACAGGTCTTACTTCTGTCAGAATACTCTAAACAATTTGCCATTTAAGTCATCGAAAGCAAGTGTAAAAAAAGGCATTAACTATCCTGAGCCCAAATACTAAAATGGCCTCAAATACCATGAATATGAACAAGAACTTTTCACTTGTATTTTTTACACTTACTTAACCGAACCAGTCATGTTGGAGCCAAAACAGCTTTGGTGGCATTTGTTTTTTTGGTGAAAAACATCTGCAATAATATAGAAATCTTTGACCGACTGCTGCGTGGAGCTGGTTCCTACTGAGCCGTGACACAGCAGCCCACCTGCCCTCACACTGCAGCTGGATAGCTGGACCAAACAAGATGGATCCTTCTCACTTATAGTAGTGCATTTAGCTGTTAAAAACTTTTCTATCTGTGCTATATTCCCCAGAGCTATGGCACCGACTGCTCCGGTTAATGGAGTACGCCTTGATTCCTTCTTCTTTGAACAGCAGGAGGAACAAAATAAGCAGTCATTGCAGTCACTCACTTGAGGGAAATAACAGCTATTAAGAAGTGAATCCTGGAAAAATACCTGCGATCCAGCTGTCAGTTACAGATAACCGAATTCAACATAAAATACTAAACAGAACTATTCATTTAAAGTTGATTAAACTGAATCATATAATCATAACACATGACTTGAGAGGTAAAGAGAATATTTTCTGCTGTTATAAATGTTCTGCATATCAGGAATGGCAGCCACTGTGCTCCAAAACAAGCCCAACAGCTGCATCAATCTTTGATTGGATTGTATAATTATTCATAAACACAACGGCAACAATATCCTTGTACACGCAGCCGTGTAGAATTTATCATTCCCTACGTAAACAGTGTGTTTTCTCTGTGCTCATTAAATATTGCTGTCATAAATTCCCATGACCTAAAAAGATATACAATATTTATAACGGCACACAAACAAAACTGTGTTTATCGAAAAAAGAAGACATGGCTTAACCCACTTGTTTAAAACAGAGGTTAAACACAGGTGAGATCGACTACATTTCAGACAAAAACCTCTGTAAATGCATTTGAAGCGTAACTGCTTCAATAAATACATCTTGTTTCTAACTTTAAGATGGCCAATCAGTCAATAAAAATCTTTGAGCAAGATCCCCCTCTCTCACTTAGGTTTACATGTTACAGTGAAAACTGGGCCCATTACTCAATGAAATGTGGAAAACAAGAAGGGAGGGAATGTGAGAATAATGGTGAAACCGTTCCCCACAAAAACAGAGTTTAGAAAACAACAGTCTGTCCCTCCAGAACTGAAAGCCAAAAGGCCAGGCTTTGGTCAAACACTTGGCTTGCAGAGCGTCTCACTGGGGCCTGGCATGTGATCAACTCTGGAGTCCTCCTGTGAAGCTGTCAGTCGCCCTGTGCTCTGCTGGCTCAATCCTGTAAACGAATGAGTCATCGGGCCGTCGTGGGCCTCAGCATCCCGCCCTCCCTAAACCCTGCACCCTCCCCACATACAAGCTCCACGTCCAGTATCAGACCGCCAGATAAACAGTTTTGACAAAGAGCCTGCTCACCCTGAACTTGTATTTGGTACTCCTGTGGAGGTTCCTGACTGTGCAGGAGAGTTCATCACCGTCGTAGCTTGGCTGGAAGCCATATCCCTGGGACAGAGACAAAGGAGAGAGAAAGAAAACAACACGTTGAGCAATGAATTATTTGACGATCACTGTTGAAAACAGAGCAGTCTGAAGGAGAAAAAATTACTAGAGTGAAAGGGACTTCTCTGTTCGCTAACAGGAGGCATCTCTGCAGATGGGTGCTTGATTCTGATTATAATTTAACCCAATTGTTACAAGCCAACAATTCCACAGAAAACCAGGATCCACATTAACTAAGCAACTAATGTCTATTCCTAAGTCAAAACTGCCCTGAATGTGCCCCTACTCACAAAAAAGGAAGTGATATATTAAGTATTTGATTAAACTTGATAAACTACACAGAGACGTTGCAGCTCCAAAACGTTGTAATGGATTGCCACTGCACATTAGACAGGCCACCTCTGTCTCATTTTAAAACTCTTCTTAAAACCCACCTCTTCTCTTTAGCTTTTGACACCATGTAGAGCGCTGATTTTATGTATATACATGCATACTTTTATCCTGTGCGGGCAGTGCTTTTATTTATTTTATTTGATTGTACATATTTTATTCTATTTCATTCCTACGTTAGTTTATTTTATTGCTTTTATTTTTTACTGAGTACCTTATCTTTTCTTGCTGTACTTCTATTGTGTTATCTCTTTATTCTGTATATCTTCTTGTGCAGCACTTTGGAAACCTTGCGTTTGTTGAAATCGTGCTAAATAAATAAAGTGGATTGGATTGGAGACTTACAGATCCTTCTTCATCCATCTCCAAAACGTAGTAGATGTCATCCTCTTTAGGAGAGCTGCTGGGCCTCTGCCACTTCATACACAGCCAGGTTACCCCTGCCATCTCCAGCTCTGGAGGGAAGGGTGGCAATGGCACACTGCATGAGGTGAACAGGTCCACCACTTCACTGAACTCGCTGGGGAGGGCAGAGAGAGACGCAGGATGGGACAGAATGGGAGGAAGAGACACTGTGAGAGACTCACAGGCACAAACGGATAGAGACAGCGAATGGAAGAAACAGTCATAGAAAATGGACAACAGTGACCCATGCCATCCAAAACAAAAACTCGACAGGCCTGTGGACCTACCTGACGCCCATGTCGTTTTTGGCTGCGAGGCGGAAGCAGTATCTGGAGGCCGGAGTGAGCTTGGTCACTCTGTACTGCTTCTGAGGTCCATAGTAGCACTGTTCATAAACACCTGTGCCCTTCCCCTGCAGAGGACAGCGGGATTAGGTCAGGACCAGGCACTTAAACTCGTTACACACACTACATTGACCTCATTACACAAAAACTAAACAATGAATACGGTTTTACCTCGTCCCACTGCAGAATGTAGTTTTGAACTTTGGAGCCGTTGTCACATGGAGCCTGAAGGCCGAGCAGACAACGTACACATTAAGAACATCAGTACAGGCCCAAAATTACTCCTTTATTCTTCTTATTAACAGCTAAAAACAATAAATTACGAAAATCTTTGAAGGGTAATTTTGCTCTTTTTGATGAACTTGCACACACTTAAATTTATTTCAGTTATTTTCATTAGATCAGAAGCAACATAACAACTTGATTTCCCCTTTCCAAGTCGCACTGAGCTGCTGTTTGGGTCTTTGTTCATTATACCAGCTTCTGAAGCCCCTTATGAACATTATGTAATGCACCGATACAAAGTCTCCTTCTCCCTGCTTGAAGCAGAGAGGGCTGTTCTAGACTGGAAGTAATTAATTTAGCTTCAAAGGCTGGTGTTTTTTTGTTTTTTTTTAGCAGGTACTACTTTGGAGGGGAAAAAAAACATGCCAAAAAGGTTTGAAAGTCTGGGCTGCTCAGTGGTTAGCACGGTCCCCTCACAAAGAGGGCTGCTGGCTTTGATCCCAGCCGGTTCTCTGTGTGGAATATGCATGTTCTCCACATGTGTGCACGGGTTCTCCCCGGGCGATCTGTCTTCCTCTCATCATGAAATAACTGGCCTGTTAGGTTAAGTGATGAATCTAAATTGGCATTTGCTGAGTGTTGTTTTGGTCCATCTGTGTGTGGTCCTGGGATGGGATTGAGTAATGTCCAGGATGTGCCCGCCTTTTCACTTAATGGCACCTGGCTTAGGCTCCGCCCCCCACAAAAGGGAGTCATCAGCAAACTGAATGCATGTGAACCAAGGATTTATAAGACAACTGCATTTTCACATGACTGCCATCAGGTGACATGCTTGCCTGCCAGCAATAAAAAAGAAGCAACCTTCGGCACTACTAATGATAAACAAAGAGCATGTGGATGACTTTTTTATTCAGTTAAGTTTGCTGAGCAAGCAAGTAGGTTCCTGATCTGATGTATGAGCTTTCACCATCCTTCCTCTCAGCATAACAAGTAGGAGAAGAAGGCTAACAATGATTTCAGGACAGAAGGAGTGTGTTTTTTTTTCCTTTTGAAAATGAATCAAACAGTCAGGAGAGAGCTTGACTCGGGGATAATGATGCTCCTGCCTCGCATCGCCGTCAGGCACCTCCGATTTCCCAACAACACCTCTGGTGTTTCTGAAAACTTTTTTAAAGCTTTTCTTGTTCTCTCAGCTTCTGTTGTTCGCTCAGCCAGTTTCGAAAATTTTAACAAGATCACATATTAGTTAACCTTTTGAAAAAAATCTGTATTTATGATTAAAAGAAAACTGCATTTAATCATATCCAAGACACAATTACTGTACTCATATTAAGTCGAAATGTTTAGCTAATAGATTCTAAAGCCTCATCCTCTTAGTAGAGGCAATTCCTACCTGTCCCCTTTAAAAACCTTGGCTTTAAAGCTTAACTTCATCAATCAAAAGACATTTTTTGTACCTTCCACTGCAGTACGAGTGTGTTCTTGGTCCCACTGGCTTTCCGGGGAGGATTGGGAGGATCTGGCTCACAGCTCAGAGTGGTGAAGCTCACGGCCTCTGACGGGTTTCCCAGTAAACAGTTACATATAGCCTGGACCCTAATGAAAGACAAAGTGTTCACACAAGGCTCCTCTGTGTGCTGAAAACTGTTGAAGCAGGCGGGGGGGTCGTGCCAACCTGACATGATAGTCCGTCGCTGGTCGAAGGCCCTCTAAAGTTGCATTTAATTCCTCCCCACTGTGTCAAAAAAGAAAAAGATCAAATATTACACTGTGATTTTTGGTAAATTGACGTTGAGGCTGGTGGTTTGTTAGCGCTCACCTGTACATGCTCTGGTATTTCCCATCTTTGCCACTGACTGAAACGGAGACCTCGTAGCTGAGGGGCTCCGTGGGGCTACAGTCGTCCTCAGTGCTGCCGTTTTCTTTCTCGGGCTTAGAGGGAACACTCCAGCTGACCGCTGCTCCTCTGGCCTCGATGTCTGACACCTAGAAAATGACCAATGCATCTGTAATCAAAGCCTCCGGCAGAATATCCCAACAGCTATTCCATTACAAAGATTTGTTTTCACTTTTGCATTTTCGAATCAGAATATTATTATTAATATTACAGTCGAAGAAAGTACAAATGAAACTATGCAAACTGACTGAAATTTTTTTTTTCCAGCTGCACTTCAAAACCCAGAGATTTTTAATTAAGTTTGGAGAAGGTTTCAAAATACTTAGTTTCTCCAACCTTCTGCCCAAGGGCCTCGGCTAAGTCTATTACTTCACACAGTGTCTTTTTACAGCTCTTTAAGAAATCAGTACTTTATTTATTTATCTTTCAAGGGCTGGAAGAAAAAGTAAAGCTCTAATAGGGCTGTGCTTTACAAGGTTTCAAGGGACACTTTGTACATGTAATAGAAGAATGCCAAAGTATCAGGAAATGAAAACAAAAATAAAAATACCAACCGTCGGTTTACTGATGCTGCTCAACAGTTCCAGCAGGGCCTGAGCTTCCTTATCAAGCTCTGAGGAAAAGGAGCAAAAAGAAAGAAAAGGTTTCAGGCAGAGATCAACATGGAAACTTTGTAAAAGAGAAAAATGATGGCTACACCAGATTCTGAGTGCTCTGTATCCTAAATGTCAACATAAATTCCAGAAATTAATATCATTACACTGGCATTACTAGTTTTGTCTTCTGAACTAACACTGAATCAAAAAAAGCTTAAGGAATATTGTCACTTTACAGCAACAAATACTAAAATGTACAATTAGGTTGCTTGATGGGAACACAAAAATCAATAAAAAAAATCTTTCTTTCATGCCATCATATTTAACTGGTTGATCACACCAATCTTTTTAAATTTATGAGTAGAACTAATTAGTGTGACAACAAGGCAATATTCGTCCACTCATCACATGACCAAACTCCTCTGCTGTAAAAGCATCTCACCCTTTGACTCTGCCTTTCCACTCTGCTTATCAGAGCTGGCTACTGCCTGACTCTGCTCCGCCTCCAGCCCTTTCCCACTAATCCCGTTGTGGACGTCTGCGGCTGGGGGACTGCCGCAGGTCTTCTGAGGCGATGAGGGAGGGCTGTCCTTCACCTGTCCTCCTCCTCCTCCTCCTCCTCCTCCTCCAAATCCCTGACGCTCTTTCAGTTTCTTCTGCAGGCGTTCGTGTGTTTTGCTAGCTCTATCGTCTCTATGGACAAACGATGGGCGGCCATGTTGGGAGTGAGAATCTGAAAAGACAGCGAACAACAAAACAAATACTTTGTCAACCTCAATATTCAGAAATGGAAAGGACACACAAGTTAGCAACTCCTTGGGTAAAGGATCTCCAAAGATGTGGAGGCTACGAGGACAAAGAAAGAGCCCCCGACTGCAGAGTGACTCACCCTGCTCTGAGAACATGTGAGCTGGATGGTACTGAGGGATGTACTGGGAGCTCAGGTCGCCCACACCCCCTGCCATGCCTGTAAACAGGTGAGGTGGATGGGGCATCATGGCCGGGTGCGGGATGAAGGCAGGAAGGTGTGCATGGGGTGGAGGTGGAGGATGGTGGAGCGGGGAATGCCCCCCTGGGTGGAAGTCTGGTTGCTGAGGTAAAACCAGAACCCGTCGCACTCCATTCTCTTCTATGATCTAAAGGGAAACAAACAAAACCGAGAGTCTGCCAGGAGGTCACATAACATTAGAGCCACCCATAATGATGCAGAGTTTGGAATCAATACCTGTGAAACATATCCAGGAGGCACATAAATTGGAGGCACTGAACCATTTGGAGACATCATGGGAACCTGAGCAGGACCTTTGCATGGAAAGAGCACAGGAGGACAAAAGCTGATTTATCTGCAGAAGCACTTCCAACTTTCTACTGGAAAACATTCTCTTTTAGCATTTTAGCTCAAATGTAGACCTTAACCACTGTAAGCAAAAGTAAAAATAAAAGCTCTTCCATATTTTAAGAGCCTATAACATTTGAAAACAAAGGCCTTACGATAAATGTGAGTTTATACGTGGTGTGAATCCCAACCAAATGGGTAAGAAAAAGCAGAGGAATGCATTTTCAACCATACTGGCAAAAGAGGCTTTACAAAAGTGCTGAGAAACATTTTTGCCAGCTCTACTGTGGGGGCCAGTCCAATGGCTTAGCTCAGCTCAGAGAAGTGACAGCTCAGCAAAAAGCCACAGAGAAAGAAACGGACCATCTCAGAGCCAAGTTTGCACATTAGCACATTTGTCTTCTTTGAAACTATACGAAGACAATGCCAGACATCATGCAGGAAAAATGTATTCCCCTTTCGGTAAAGAGGTGTGTGATGAGAGAAGCCACCTCTTAACGGACTGCCATTAAGCTTTGAAAAACCATGACACCTTAAACTATTTCTTTAGGTGCTTACGCTCTTGTAGCCCAACAGAAATAAACTCTGACAGCCTTCCACTGTGTGGTAACCTAGCAAAAACGCAGGCAATCTTAAGGAAGGCTACCAACAGCTTGGGTACATTAAGGTTACCTAAATCGGTTGAGTGTGCCAGGATGAAATAAATCTAAGAAACTGTCTCTCTGAGCACTGCTCAATATGCTCCCACATCCACTGATGACACCCATTCGGACTGATCGACCATCTGCTCTGGTCAACTTGTGTTTGCAAACCAGGAAGAGTCAGCTCGAGCTTTTAGGTCTGAAGGTCAGTTTTGGAGACCCGGTGTGGCCAAATAAAGTCACTTTGTTTTGAGCTGACATTTAACTGGCTGGAACACCCCCGCCCCACCCCCCTGTCGTAATAGATTTCATATTACGGCTAAATCTGAGTGGGCGTTCGGAGTGTTTGCTGCTAACGCTTCTCACTTTTAAGACAAATTAGGTGAATATTATGCTGCGCAGCTCTCAGATGCACACCTGCCTAATGACTAATTAAGGCAATTCTCCTTAGAGCTGCTGATGCTGGCGAGCAGCAAACCTGAAGGATTACATCAGTTTCCTGTGTTGTCCATTTAGATTGAAAGGCTGTGCGTCCACAGATGTGAAAAGAGTACACGTAAGGGGAGTGCCGAGGCCTGGGGAGGGGGGCTCTTACGTTACTGTGGAAGGGAGAAAAATAAACAAAGAGGAGAAAAAAGGGGAGGCACCCACCCTCCTACATCGAACTGACGCACGAGCATTAACAGAGATCAGATAAATAAATAAAAAAGGGCCACATCCCCCCCTCCCGCTCCCCTGAGTCCACCGGAGCTCTGGCACTGCTGACGTGGCCATGGAGTGCCAGCCTTCCAGAGGCAGCCATGGGAAAAACAGGAGTGAAAAGAGAAAGAAAGGGGGGGGCTGGAGACCAGGTATCTGACATGTTACACGTGGATGTATAGCTACTTTGAGCACTGCCTTTCCTCCTGTCTGGATATATATTTTTTCATAAATTACACAACTGAGGCTTCCCAGGTTTGCTGAGGTTTAATGCAGATGGAAGGAGCTTGGTGGTGCTGAAATGATGGCAACGATACAAGCAAACTGTCGGGTTTAATCTAACATACAAATAAAACGCTCGGCTAGATTGGAGGAATAAAGAGAGGCAGAGAAGATATAGTACTAAGGGAATGTCCGGGTTAATAGAAGGGTGTTAAAACCAAAGAAAACAGACAACAGGAGGACATAATGACAGAGAAACAGAGCAGCTTCATGCACTGAATCTCACATCCTCGACTGAGGGCCAGAAAAGATGGAGCCGACTGGATTCTTAATTAGAGTAAAAAGGAATTAGGCAAGGGGAAAGAAAACAGATGAAATGACTCAGCAGGATAATTACTGCCAAGAAAGATACCAAATACTGGATTGTCAAAAGTAATAATTACAATAATAAACCATGACAGATTTTTCCCTCTGTGATGATGGTGTCAGCGACAGTCCCATTTTAGCATGATATGGCAAATCTTCTCAGAAAACATCTTCCATTAATCAGAATGCGCTAATTTGCAGGAAGAAAAACATTCTGTTAGCTGATTACGCATGTGTGCACTCGCCCTCGGCCAGGCTGCTTCTCCTAAACATGCCGGTTAGGATCCAGCCATCACCAATCCAGCCAGATAGAGCGGAAGGAAAGGAAAGGAGGAAACGGCTCCCTATGCTGATCTGTGTGTAAACCACAGCCTTCGGGAAGAAGCTGTGCTGTAAACAACAGCCACAAATTGAATAAAAATAGAATCTTTTTTTTCTAAGGTGTTCATAAACTTTGATTTCCTAGCATGGCAAGTCATCCGCACAGTCCTCACAATCCCACCGGTACGAGTGCTGTTTACAGGAAGGAAGGAAAAGGGTAGCTTTCATGCTGCTGATGCTTACAGAACATCACACCCTGCTGCTGCTCTCAGACAGAGCAGCGCAGAGGCCACCGCTCAGCTAAAACACCGAAGCAATTGTCTCCATTTAGGAAAAAGAGATTCAACTCTAAAACCTCAGAAACCAAGATCCATCTCGTAATAAAAAGTAAACTCCTAATCCCAGGTATGGCCGCCCAACGGTAAACCAGCCCCAGGCTCCAGACTCACAGCAGAAGCATCTGCACATGCACATGTCCTTGGAGTGAGGGGGGGGGGGGGGTGAGGAGGGAGAGTGCTAATCTGTCTGATGTGTTTGTTTTATGTGAGCCGTATGTGATGAGCTGGGTCAGTGAGAGGGGGCTGGAAGTGAGAAACAACGTCACTGTCGTCCATGCGGATTTTACCAATCAATGATATTTAATGGTAGCCTTGTTGTTTGTTGTTCAAATAAGAAGTGTACATAAAGGACAAATCCTGTCCACTAGCAGCCCGACACATTTGGGACTGGACCCTCAGACTTCCTCTGAACTCTCCGGGAATGGGAGAGCTCTTCCTGGATCAATGGGCAGCAACAGGTGCCCGTTTCCTCCCCCCTGTCCAGGTGGACAAGCTGCCAGGACGAAGGCTGTGTTTAGCTTGGACCCGCTTTTGTTATATACTGATAATAAATCCTGTGCCACCCAAGTATTCTATTGGCTGCCGATTCATCAGAAAATATTCACCACATCCCATCTTATCCTTTAGCTATGTGCAGTCATTTAATTTGTCCTCTTGGAACATAAGGGGGAGAAACAGTTATATCATAGTAATGAAATGCGAGTATATAAATACTGAGTAACCCTAACCCAGTGTCCTAAACCATGTTTGTTTGAGGAATGAGGATGTGCTCACTTCCTGAATAAGTTCTTGTCAGGAAGCAAACATGTTTTAGATCCTGGGGCACATCTGTCCCAAGCTCCAAAATCCTATTGGAACTATACAGAGCTTTACGCAACGGCCCAGAGAATGAATCATCCAAAGTGGTGGTGAATCACCAGTGGACTAACTCAGATACAGAAGTGGATCTAATCAGTCCGATGGTCCTGATGCTGACGTGCATCGCCGGTCACCGCGTTTATCAGGTGGCTACTGATGCCACCGATACGGCTCTTAAATCTGGAATGCTGTGTCGGATTCTTCGAATGGGAACCGGCACTTGGGGCGAAGTTATGAGGACACGTTTCCTCACGAAGAGCTCCAATTAAGGTGAGGGAGATAGAGAGCAAAATGAAGCTAAATGGCTACTCTAATTAGCTCCCTTTTCCAAATATCCCACCTCCAAGGCAGATTTTTTTAAAGGCGAATGCCCTTTATAAACTGCATGTCACAAAACTGTCTGTTCCTATTAAGCCGGCTGCCAGGCCCTGTCACATGGCCGTTATGCGTATTTAGTTATTACAAAAACAGGAAACATTAGATCCTGAAAAACAACCTTTTTGATTTCCACCCCTGGTTTCTCACCTTTTGAGAACACTCAGGTTGCAGATGATAGCATGCATGTATGCCCAACAGATGCCCGAGTGAGGAGATAGTCTGTTGTGTTCAAACAACAAACCAAACCAGCCACATACGCAGATAAATTCTTGCCTGCACTAAAACACACACACTCACGCACACACAGACACACACACACACACACACTTCTTCCTGCCTCTTTGCACTGCAATCGGTGAGTCATCCCTCTATTCACGTCACAGAGAGATGAGTACACCCTGTGACAGGCCAGTTAGTAGCAGTCACACTGATCTATGTGGCACCTCTTAGTTCCAGGTTTTTCCTCTGATGGAAAAACTATGTATCCTTACTCCCCATTAGGAAGTTTCCCTCCGCTCATAATGGAGGGCCAGACCAAAGCCATCAGAGGAGCTCCAGCTGAGAGCAGCATCACCTTCTGCCTCCCATTTCTGCTGCTTTGTCATCATGTCCCGGATACCTGAGGCCTTCTGCTTCGCTGAAATTCACATGTGCCACCAGGTATTGACGAAGGCCACAGACGTGTCCTCAAAGAGGCAGAGCTACTCAAGGCTGCTCCAAACATGCGTCACAAAACTCAGCCCGCCCCCACTCGGGTGTCAACAGGTGCCAGACCGTCTTCTCTCCTCCACTTTTCCTATGTTGGCAGCTCATTTCCCTCATTACATCAAAAATCCCCATTTCGGGAATAAATAAATAAGATAAAAAAACTTTCAGATGAATACTTTTTTCCTCGCGGCTAAAGTTTATCATGATGGTTTACGGTTATGGCTCCACAACACCGCCTACCGAAACTACTCAAGTAGTTTTCCATTCATTCTTGTCAAAAAAAAGGGGGGGGGGGGAGCTACACTTCATTGCTGCTGTCACGAAGCCAGAGCAACAACTGTGGAAGGAAATTACTCCCATCGTGATAAATAAGAATGAGTAACATGTCGAACTCAAACGCTGCCTTTTCGCCCCAAACTACTTCACTAAACACTGTAATTACGCTGTGTGGGTTTTTTCACATTATGACGGATCACTGGCCCACCTTTCATTTTATCTGCTGTCAAAAGAAAACAGCCAGAGTATTCCAGTGTAAAGATATAAAAGGGGAAGGACAAAAATGAGTTAATCTAAATAGACATTAATAGTCACAAAACAACAACAACAACAAAACACATTATTAAGACTGAAGGTTTTGCATGCTATTATCATTCTCCAATCAAAAATCTGCTAAAAATAATTCAGAACAATAAAGAGTACAACATTTAGCATTTAGGAAGAGTTCCCACTAAAGGTGAGGAAAAGTTTTACAGTCACAGCATAAAAGACGCTTAGACAAAAGATTTGATTTGTGCTGGAAGCTTTTGAAAAACAGCTTGTTTATTCTAATGACAGGTAAGGAGAGAATAATTACGGCGGCTAGAAAAGAAAACCATCTGAACACACACAATAGCCTGTGAAAACAGAAACGGATTAGCGCAGTATTAAGTAGCTATTATTATCATAAAGCAACCTAGCTGAAATGAAAAGTGTTTCATAAAGCGGGCCTCGGTCTGTAACGAGGAACTGCACGAGACATCAGAGATCTCACGCTGCTCCAGTTACACTCAGAGAACGGCAACAAAACCCGCATGGATTCACAGAAAGCTGTCGAGCTACTGGCTGAACCAAAACACTTAGCAACAGGTCACAGTCGTCTTCTCAAACTCTCAAAGAGCAAACAGCAAGGATGCTGATTTTCAAAGCAAATTGGAACCAGAAACGAGGTTTTAACTCTCAAGTCTTTAGCAAACTAAAGACTTGAGAGCCTGTTCAACACCTCCAATTCACAGCAAGTATAACTAATATTTCTGAGAGTATCTACTGGAGAAGAACAAAAAGGCCATCCATACATTTCTTTGATCCCAAAATGTACAAGGCGCATAAATGTAGAATACACAATGGTATAAATCAAGGGAGGAAGTGAGAAGAAGTCTCTTACAAATCCAACAGGAGTTTAAATTGTATACTGCAAATTCTTTGGACCCGACTAAAATCTTTAGCAATGCAAAACCAGAAGATCCAAGGAAGTGCTTGATATCTTCATTTGGAAGCCACCATGCAGACCTTAGTTTGTCCTGCTGTATAAATTAGGTCCAAATAAACATTGTGACAAAAACCTGCACAGAGAACCAATTTCTGCCCTGATGTCTAAATCCACTGATCACATGGATCCCTGTAGAGAACAACAACCTTTAACTTAAGAGGATTTTCATTTGTTCTGCTCCCAGTCATTGACTAGACACAGCAGCCACATGAATCTCCGGCAGCTCGGGGGACGAATCCCAATCCAACAGTGACAAAGGTACCTTCCCTTTATTGGCTTAAACCATAAGATTGAACTGTGACAATACAATACAATGAATTTCCTCTGGGACGAATAAGAAATCCATCCATCAATCTCTATCTATTGGCTAAGAGCTGTGAGACATGACTGCTATTCTTTGTATTTTTGCTAAAGTACGCCATTTTATCTTGGCCAAAACCTCCCTTTTCCCAGAGAGTGCTGCACACTTTTCCCCTCAATACTTAGAAACCCAACTTTGGTGGCGCCACTGAAGCTAAATTAAGGAGCACTGCATCAAAATGATGATGAACTCAACACTTTAAATGAACAAACTGAATTTTGGTTTCAGTTTGGTTTATTGGTTTATTTGTCCTGTATTGTGTTAAATGTCAATTACGATATCACAATGAACTGCAGATGTCTAACTGAACCAATTTATGCTAAAAACAAGGCCAAATAGGACCAGGCAAACAAAATAATGTAATTTTCCCCTCATTTGAAGTGTCTGTATCATACTTTCGTTTCAGTGTCTTCGGCAAACCGGTTCATCGGTTCTTTGAAAAAAAACAAAAGAAGAAAAAAAAGCCATGCACCCAGGTTGTTTTGGTTGATTAGATATTTACAGGTTCCATTGACATAGGGATAACAATCTGCTTAATTTAACCTGCTGTTCCATCAAAATAAATATACATTTGAATGTTATGTATGATGATGTCATGACAGTGGGTTGTGTTGTAATGCCGGAAAAAAACAAGAACCTAAAAAGGGTTTTTGAACACATAAGAAGGACACAGAGGCTCTTATATGTACAGTGTTTCCTATGAAAGTATGGAATGGGAGGTTGAGTGTGGCCCACCACTGATATGCCTCTGAGCAAGTGTCAGTGGATCTCACACAGACCACAAACAGTCTGTGTTTACACGGAGAGCCAGCACCACAAACACGTTGCTCTGACTAACCCAGCTGTCATCACTAAGGTGGATTGCCGTGTAGAAGCCGACACTGATGCGGCACTGAGCCACCTCTGTTCAGTCAAGTGGGAGCTGGAGCCATTTCAAAAATGTGGAGTGCAAAAAAGGGCAAAGTCACTCATTTGTACTCTGACAAGAGATTTTTTTTAAAAGGGTTTGAAAATCATCGCTACATTTGAGCATGTTTAAATTGAATGGAGGTTCCAAACAAGCAGATTGTGTCTTTTTTCCACTATGAAACAAAGTGCTCAGACACAAAATAGCCCTCCGAGCCAGAGGCTGGTTTTTGTCAGGCCTGACATTTTCTGAAGGCCTTGCACGTAAAGGAGAAAAACGCCCACATCACATTTCCATTCCTGCTTTATTAAGCTAGCTTTGTAGGGTAGATAAAGGTTGCTTTAGTTTGTCTGAATACGCCACATAAACCACTAGATGTCACTACCCTCTACACACTGAACCTGTAAAATGTCAAACACTGGAGCTTTCTTACCTGTGATACACTGAAACTGACCATCTTCTCGTCGAATTGTGAAGGCCTCACCTGGGTTCACCTGCACCAGGATTACCTGAGGAACACAAGAGGAAGTGGATTTGGTGCATTTTGACTATAACGATAATAGCAATTTGGGACCTATTTCTTACAAAAGAAAATATATATTAAAAGTTATTATTACAAATAATAAAATCATATCTTTGATAAATACATTGAAATACTAAAATATAATGAATAAGATAAGTATGAATTCGTTACATGTGTATGTTTGTACATATACCACAATGCACCCCATTCAAACAACAATCAACATTATTTGCAATTTTTTTAAAAATCCACAGGTTTGACAGTAAATTATGCAACAACCACATAATCAACATAACTAAATTCACCTTTAAAAGGCTGAACAAATAAAAATATCAGTCCAATAAACCAAGATCTTTCTATCTGAATTTAAAAAATACAAAAATGAACTTCAACATTTAATAGAACCTTTTCTTTCCTTTACCCAGATTTTATTCGCAGCTTGTTCCATATGAAATATCAGGTAGATTCTGCTATGTATTTAACAATGAGTCATACCGCTTTGGTCCTGACAACAGACTAAACAAATACAGATGGACCAGAAACAGGCTCACAGAAAAGGTGCCGTTTTGTCCAAGTAAACATATTCAAGCAAACAACAGAAAAACGAACAAAAATGTGTAAATGGTCTGTTTTCTCTATTCAACAAACTGACGAGCTTGAGCACACTCTCCCCTCTAAATCCTCTAAAAGTGATTCTCCTCTTCACCTATCTGTGGGAAATCAAAAGCATGCAGAACGGGCTTCGGTGTGGGCGCCGGGTACCTCGCTCTTGTGGAAGTCGCTGTCATAAAACCTACACTCCTCTGGCAGAGGGCTTTGGCTGTGGCTGTCTTCAAACAATGAAATCATCAGCACCTCCATCTCTGACACTGCTCCCATTCATGTGCTCGGTGGGGAAAAAGCCCTTTGACTGCCACACCGAGTGTCATATGCTCATACAAACCCACACAGGCAGCGTCAGCAGTGAGTAGTGTGATGGTGGGAGTGGGAGGGGCAAGGGAATCTAATTAAATTAAAGTCTGGGGACTTGGGTTGACTACATGTGTTTGCCGGTTGCTCTCTCTCTCTCTCTATGATATCAAGCAAAAATAATAATAAATTCCTTAAAATTATTTTCTTTTCCTTTTAATTTTTACAGTGAACGATATGGTTCAGATCAATTCTATGAAATGTGTTTCCTGTTGCTAAAATAAAAAAAAAATAAAAATCAGAATGAGGTAAAGTTTGCCTGTAAAAAAGATCTAACTGCTACTTACTGTTGCCCGCATTGTTTTTTCCTCATTCAAGCGTCACTATTCACGCAGTCACAGGCAGGAAAAGATGCTCCAGGGTCTACCAGACCCTCCACCACTTCACCCAACCCTCATGAGAGATCACATGACCTCCGCTGCTGCTGACACATCTGGCAGGGGGGGTCTTTGACACCCTCCACTTCCATCAACTCCTGCATGAGGTCTGGGGAGACGGACGCGAGGCGAGGAGGGGAGGAATCCGGGGCATGAATCTGACCGCCCGGCTCGGTCCGGCGGAAACACGAGCGGCTCGCTGCTGCCTCTGGCTCCCCGCCGCCAGTCTCCACGGCAACCCCTTCAACAAATAAGCCTCGCCGACGTCCGCGCCAGAGCTCCACGGAAGGGACCGAAACCTTATCAGCGGCGGCCGCTCTCCGGGGAGAGGAGGCAGATGAGCCCCCAGAAAAAAAAACCGGGACCCAAAAGGAAAAGCACTTTGGGGGATGCTGCTGCCTCAGTTTGCCGCTCTGCTCTCCTCCTCCTGCCTCTGTCACTGTGTGCCAGCTCAGTTAGCGCCCGCTGTGATCCTTAATGTGCTTCATTTCAATAGCATTCCATCAGGGTGTGATCACAGCGCCGGTGAGCCGGCAGAGGTTTACGGGGTCCGTGGCGTGGAGAGTCCTTTGTTCTGGCTTTTTCACAACAACAACAACAACAATGGCGTGAGGGAACTGAGCGACCCACGCAGCTTCTCAGGCTGACATATACGACTACGTTACAGTCCCTCTGCCTCCCTCTCCTCCTGCTCTCCCTCCCCCTCACCCGCTCGCTGGCTCTCTCTCCCATTCACTCAGCAGAGTGCCATACATTTCTCCTAAGGCTGGGATCAATGGGGAGGTGAGTCCAGAGGCAGAGCTCCAGCACCGGGGACGATCCCAGCCCGGACTCCTCACACACCACAGATCAGCTCCATCAGACGCTGCCTTTATCTGTGTGGCAACGCCATTCACACGGCGTGCGAGTACTCAATGCCTCCGAAACATCTGCGCTCATTAAAGTCTAAATGGACTGCTCCTTAAAGCGACAGCGCCGATCACTCCATCAGCACGTGTCAAGTTAACCGATGCGTCACCCACTCAGCCAAGAAAAAAAAAAAAAAAATCAACACAAATGAAATCCTGGTTTGTTTTACTTGTTAAAAAAACTAAATTATGCAAATTATAGAGAGCAGAAACAAGCAGTGATCAGTATCCCTATATATCTGGCTTAAAGTTTTGCAAAAAGTCAGGGTTATTCATAGTAAAATCAGTTGTGGTAAAGATAAGGGAAGGAAACAGCTTCTCACTACGATGCTTATCTATTCATTTAAATGATTTAAGATTTACTACAGGCAGTAACTAACCCGTTTGCATCCGAGTTAATCTCATTAAACAAAACAGGCAACAATCAAATAAACCATTTTTAGATTTAAAGCTTTTTGAAGTGATAAAATTTGCTTAAAAAACACTATTGACCTGATCTAATGGCGTCTCAGAGCTGTGTGGTGTATTTGCTCCACAAACAGGCTTCAAAGCTACACAACACTGTTTACATTGATTTGGATATGGCATTAAATAACCCGTTTCCTTTTCAGAACCGTTCTGGTTTTTGTTTTCGTCATCTCCAGCCCCGCCCCGGCTCTCGCTCTTTGTCTGTAACAGAATCTTTCAGCAGCACATTCAGCTACTACCTGTGTTCACAGTAAATACCTGCGCAGCCACAGATGGTTTTTTCCCAAAATAATCTTTGTGACATTTTGAGCTCGTTTTGGTCAAACCATTGGAAGCGTGCACTGAACAGAGCAGCCTGAAAAGCTGGAGGTCCCCCCCCCCCGGTTCAGCTGACCTCACAGCTGTGAACCTTCCTGTAGTCAATCATTTTACATGTTAATGCAAACACAATCAACATGCAGCCATAGCCCACTGTCCTTCTGCCAGACCATATTAGGATTACAAAATCAGCGACCGGGGATTAACATGGAGTCTCGTGGTGGTTATTTCCCCCCCAATCACAATATGGGTCAAAATCCCCTCACTGTAATCACCTGCTCATCTGTTTTTATTATTAAAACACTGAAAGCAGAAGCTTTGTGCAAAGGTCACCTGCAGTCAGTTAAGAAAAATCTGTAAACCCATTCATAAGCATATGCATGAATTCATGAGTCATGTACACAATAAATCAGACCTGGATCTAGAAATCTGATAGTGTTGATGTTGTCAATCAAACGACTTCATAGAAGCAGAGAATCTGTGTGTGCAGCTACAGCAGCAACCTTGTTTGCTTCCACAAGCTTCAATTCTCAGACTGATCTGCAGTGTTTCCAAAATCTCCAGATAGAAATGGCTTAGCTTGTTTGGAACCTTGGCTGAGGTAGTAACTAAAATGTCTGAGAATCAACCATACAATCATCTCATGTGCTAAAGAAAACCATGAATGCATATAATTTTAGTAGGCAACGCAAACTCAAGCCTGATGACCACTATGATGTAGACAATATGATGTCAACTAAAAAAGCATGAGCGCAATTACTATTCTTTAGGACCCGTTTTCCACATGGCTTATGACGCATTCAGCCCACAGACAATATGAAGGGGGGGGGGGTGTAGACGCTAAAAGTTTAATTACTTTTTAGATAAAGCAAGTTCCTCTTTTGATAAAGCCACTTGTCAAACAAACTGAGCAAATGTGACTGCAAACGCATCACCAAATGACTTGCCGTTTAAGAATAAAGACCCTATCTAAATACTTCGAAACTGCAAAGGTTACTTCAGCACACACGTGCACTAGTGTGCACCCCCAGACACATCAAGAAAAAAGAAAGCTTTTCTTTTTTTTTAAGCTGGGGATGAATAAATTAATTGGACACATATGATGCAAATGTATAGAATGTCCTGTGACATAAAGCACCTTATCTGCTCCAGTTAGGGTCAGTTTGCAGGCAGCCACTCAGGTGGCCACGGCTGTGTTTTATTACCCCGGAGAACGGCCTGCTCCGGGCTCATAACGGTCAGCTCTAACGTTTCTCTGCCACCGGTGACTCAGAGTGAGCTTTCTCAGTTTGTTCCTCTTCATTGTTTACTGTGCTTTGATGCGACATAGCAGCTGGGTGGACAGGAAACAGGAGCCAAATGACACAGGGAAAATCCTGCCAGGGTCGGAACAAGCCAGGAACTAACGCAGCCTCCCTGCAGCTGATGGCACACGCTTACGTCTGCACCGATGATTCAAAACATCCACTCTTTAGGATGTCCTAGAAACCTTGCATAAGCAGAGAGAAAAAGAAGGGGGGAAATAATCTCCAAAAGGAGATCATACAGATGCATAACTTATCTTCTTGTTTAGTCACAGACTGAATAATCACAAAACTATTTCTAAAGAACTGCCAGTCGAAGGTTCTTCAGAAGTCTGAGTCATAGATATTTTCCATTAACTATTTATAAAGTTAATTAATTTGATGTTTCCATTCAATGATTATGGTTATGTTTTTCTATTAATTCACAAGCCTGTTTTTACTGAACCTACCTACATCACAAAACGCAACAGCCTATTCATAGTTATTAGTGGACAACATATTATTTCAATACGTTATTGAATGGTAAGAAATCAAATAAATGCAAGATGCTTTGGTATGAGAAAATCAGACAGCAGATATAAGACAACGAGGCAGTTTTCCAAGTGCCATGACACAAAAAATCAAAGGCACAGCCCCTCTCCAACTTTTGATTTATTTTTCTCACATGATAGTTCAAAACTGTGTTTATGCACATTCAGAAAATAAATACTTTTTCCTCAAAATACCTCATTATTTGGTTTTTAAAAAAGCAAAAAGAGTGAGAATCTTTCCAGTTTAGGAGCTTACTGAGTTGTCTGATATGCTGGTGTTGACTTTGTTTAAGCTTGGCATCTTTGAATTTTGGACATGTGGCCAAATATGCATGATGCTAAATTCGATTCAATTTCTATTTTTTGGTGGGAAAAGGGAGTGAAACCAGCAGGACGCGTTTGGCACTGCACATTGTGCAAAATGCCACGTCAACGCAATTAAACATTTATGATGTGTTAACTCCCATTTAGGCCGGCCCCAACTGCCACAGACAGCCCAGAACAACCCACTGTATTAGAGTGGATGTTTGTTTACAGGATAATGCCATCAACATGTTGCCAGGAGGGGGGTGCAGCATCTTTGGAGGACTAACTGGGTTTTTTTTGCAACACCTAAGCTGATGTGGTTTGTTTTACTTTCTTGGAATGAAGTGCCCTAAACACCGCTGAGTCACAAACCGTCTGCCTCCTCACAGTGGTTGACAAATAGTGGTTTAACCCCCGGCTTTACAGATGATTCAGTGGCCAACAAGGAGACAAGAGGAGTGGGTTGGATTTTTGTCACAGCACCTCAAGTCCTCCAGCAGGTTGGGAGGGAAACGCATCTGAGGACTGGTCTCCTCATTCTGCCTGCAGCACAGCAGGACCGCGAATTTAAGAGTGAGGTCTGTCTAACTCACACTTACTTTAGCCCACGCAAAACACGCCGCCACAAGCAGGCCGCACATTCGTGACTGTACTCAGTTTGGAAAGTTGCAGTCTATTGCTCAAATCTCTTACAAACAACCTGCCTCTTTGGTTTCCAAGGTAAAGCCATGGAGCAGCACAATCCTGATGCCTGCGCCAAAGCTCAATATTGGCTGGAAATAAGGTGTCATTATATACATTTCCTAAAAGGTTAGATTATTCTTTGGAAGTGTCTCTAACTGGCCACACAGCTGGAACTCGGCACAGATGAGCGCTACTAATCCCTTACAATCTGTTCGCTTTTTAAACAAAAACATTAATCCATTAACCGAGAGAAGTAAAACCCGAGCACAAAAAGTCGAAATAAGAAGCGGGTCCAACAAAATAGAGAGTAATGAATAAAGTGGGTGAAAATATACATATCTATCAGCACAGCCAACGGCTAAGTGCACAGGCCATTAACTAGGCTTAAACATTGACAGAAACAGACCGATTCATCTGTCACCAATTTAGCTACAAACCAAACAAGAGCAGGAAAAACCAAAGGGAGGAGGGAGGCTTAAGAGGAAGGAAGCAGTGAATCACACTGTAGCTAGAGTCACTTCTTAAAAGGAATCATCTCAGGTAATGACCCCGAGACAACAGCTACCTCTCCCACTGACAATAATTGGTCAAATAGAGCATTAATACCATGGCTAGAATTAGGGGAAAACATTTTTTTTTAAAGCTAGAAAAAAGCTTTATGCATCCTTGTTGATTTTCTGGCTAAAAAGGTCAGAAATGGAGGGGTCAGCCATCGCTGTGAATCCCCCTCACCGTCACCCCTGATTCTGTCAGATCCCGGACCTCTTCGGTGGTCTGCGCCCCTCACTCCAAAGCCGTCATGACATTTACGCACCTCATCAGACAACACGCAAACGGCATTCTCTGAGCCAAAAGCAATGCTCAAGCCCCAACATCAAACAATTTTTCTATTTACTGGTCATTTTCACAGCTGGTAAGCGGTCAAAAAGCTCTCCATGTGCTCTACACAGGTACTGGAACTTCCTTAATCTGAGAAACTGTATGTATTCTAGGTTTTTATTGAACACACAAATAGAGCTTAAAGGTTCGTACAAACAAAACAAAAAAATTCTAAACACTTTTACATTTTTCTGCAAATAGAAATGGATGTCTTCAGGGTCAGTGATCAATAAAGATCAGGTGTGTGACTCACCACATGTTGCCCTTAAAATGGAGCACAATAAAACAGGGTGCCGTATACTTTATTACACGGCCTTAACTATTGATTTCAACAACACCTGCAGGAAAAATCCAAATGAGGCAAACCTGCTGTTTCTATTAACAGACTCCATTCATTCCCTGATCTGAGCATTCAGTCCTGACACCGCCGATATGATGTACATGAAATATGGGGAACACAAAGTGTATTGCACATTATATCGTTCTGATAACATTTCAATAAAAGAAAATTAACGTTTATGCTGCATAAACTTGTGCATGCTTCAACTGTTTGAATTATTTAATACATTTTTATGCCACTCTGCCCCTACAATATTTTGAGTTGACATCATTAAAACAATTTTTTCATGCTAAATTAAAAACATTTGAATTGCTTTTAGAATCAATCAGTGTTATAAATAATGTTGCCAATGAAACCTCTAAGATCTCCTGATCCAAATCAGAACAGGTCTGTTTTCTGAGAAATCCTCAATTATTTACTATGCATCAGAAACAGTTTGGCTTTTTTATCATGTAAAACAAAGAATTGGGAAAATGAAATTTCAGGAGAACTTAATTTCTTAAATAACTGTTAATATTAGAGCAATCTAAAAATAAATGTGTCAACTAGACGCATCTGAGGGATAGAATCATGACACATTAGCTTAATTCAAGGTGAGCAACTGATAAGCAAGTTTGGTGGTAGTGATGTGTCAGAGAATGATCCGTGAACATGGAAAAGCCACTGAAAAACACATGCAATTGGTTTTCCAATTTCAGCTATGGCGAACACGCCGGGTCTGAAATTGGTCGGAGCGGCGGGGTGGTAATGATGTAAGCTGGGAACCAACAGCCGCATTTTATTGTTTTACCTCACATAAAACAATGTAAACAGTGGCAATGGGCATGTTGAGGCAATCAGGGAACCTTTGGGAGACGCGGTAAGGTAACTGAACTCTATGAGAACGCCTCCCACACAGACGGACAAACTGAGCAAAATCCGATCTGCGCGTGAACAAAGACGGATTCAGGTGAGGGGTTTTCCACTGTGGAAAACGGCAGGAATGGGTGGAAAGGCAAGTTTTATGTAGCAGTGCTAATACTCACAAGCGTCATCAGGACAAAGGAGGCGAGGCTGCTGAGGAAATGACTGAAAAGATATCATTGGGTTTGATGCTATCTCCAAGTCTGGGAAACTTAAGCAAATCAAAGCGGTGACCCTTAAAGTGACAAGGAAATCAGCCGAGCTTGTCGGAGCCATTCAATCTCACTGTGAGACTGACAAGATGCGATATCAACCCGTCCTGAAAATACGAGGCAAAACCGCTATGAAAACCGAGAATGAAACGTTTCATGAGCAACACGCACCTGCTGCCTGTGAAACACCACCAATAACCAACTGGTTTAGGGGTTGATTTGTTTTTTCATTACTTAGTTGAGTAAGGGGGGCACTGACAGTCCAATTAGCATCTGAAAGTCTTTAAAAAAAAAAAAACCTTATAGGTTTCAGAGGCAAGCTAAAATATTTCTTTTCTGCAGCGATAGCTACAAAATGTTGTCATTTTTAAATGTAAATGAAAAAACAACACAACTACATAAGAAACAAATACATGTATAACAAACTAATGGAGACATATAGTTTTTCAACGTACAATTACCTGTTCTACATACAGGAATTGATTTCTTTATTTGTGAAAAACAAAACTTGTAGATACTGCTTCAACATGAAATTATTAATATTATTAGTATTTCGTATTTCACAGATAAATATATATTGCTAATATTATGGCATGAATAGGATTTCCTTATAGCCAACAACTGTCTAAATGAGACACCATCTGGAGCATGTACCCTAAAATGTGACTAAAAAGCTTCTTCTAAGGAATCAGTTTTTGAAAAAAAAAAAAAAGAAGGATGCATCAGGTTACAACAAAACAATGTCTTAGGTGGCACAGGGATGTGAGCATACCTGCTGAGGGCCTTCCCCGTTGACCATGGGAGGGGGCGGTGGTGAGGCCAGGATGGGGAGTTCGGGGCTGAGAAGCTGGCCAGACTCCAGAGGTGGCGTGCGGTCTGCCATGTCTCCCTCATTCACACCCCTGAAGAGGTACTGCTGCGAAACACAGAGGGAGATATGGAAGTGTACACAGCATATCGCAAAGGTCTGTGGCGTCACCGTCCTGGCCATCATTCAACCTGAGCTGATAGTGTCATTTACCCAGATATTCCTTCAGGATGCAACGGCTCTCTTCCAGAGTGCGTTTTACTACGGGTGCGTCAGCAGCTAGCTTACTGACGAAAGTATGCAGCGTTGCATGTCAATTAAAACGACCACCCACTGCTGACTCATCTTTATTATGAACGTAAAATAATGAAGAGGAAACATAACACGAGCTGGAGATGTAGATATTTACTGTGATTGTTCTCAGTAGGTAGCATCTCTCACTCAGGAATACATTAATGGCTAAACATCAGATCATAATATAAAATTGCATCAATTCAATTGAAAACTGCTGGCTGACAACACAGCCAACAAAGAAAATTTATTTCCCAAATATATACATATATATATGGGGGAAAAGCTCAAAATGTGTGCATTGTCTCTTAAAACGCGGCACCGTTGTGCTGGATTCATTAAATCAGTCCAGCTCAGTGGGCCCAGCACAAATGTAACGTCAACGATGGCAATTACATTCTTTCTTTTTTCTACTCAACTTCTAAATGTCATAAAGAAATATCTAATTTGGTCCAATTTAACTGCGTCTGGGGTCTGTGATTTGAACTGTTAGCTTGTCTGGATTTTTAGATTGTCAGAAAAAGTTAACAGCGGAACCTTTCGAGGCAATATTGCTTGTATGACATGAACATTTACGCAAGAGGCGTCACTAGCACTTAGACCTCAGGAAAATAATCTCTATTGCAAGACATGAAGGTGAACTGACATTAAGAAAGGCTTTGATGCCTCATATTTGAAGCTGGGCTGTTTAAGTACCTGGTCTGGCTGTAGTTCCTGTCTATACGGTTTCCCACACTGCCTAATGGATATTTCATATTCCTTATAAAACGACACAATTAAATGCTAAAACCATGTGGAAAGATTAGTTAAGACAGAGGTCACTCTGTGGCAGCCCAGAAAAACACATACTTTTAAAAATAAAAAGAAGGAAGTTGTGTTTCTCTGGATCTCTGTGTAAATTTTTGCAGAAATGTTGCAATCTGTCTGACAATGGTGAATGAAATTCATACTAGGCAGCAGGCATTTGCTATGCAAACATTCAGTCTTGTACTTCCTCTAACAGTTGAGGCCATTTGACATCTTTACTGTGATTAAAAAAGCCTGAATGGTGGTAAAAAAATAAAAAATAAATGAAAATCACCTAGTGATTATATCACTGCTTTTATATCGGCCAAGAATAAACAACTCCCAGAGCAAATGCAAAGAGTTTTTATAGTGTAGTAACATCAGAGTAAATACATTAGATGTAAAATGAGAAATAAATGACGACTCGTTTGAAGAGAAGTGTCCACAACCATCTGTGAGCACACAGTCCAAAAGGTGCTCTCATTAACTCCCCAAAGCCTAAAACATCATTATTAAAATAAATACATTAAGATTACTTTGATAAAAATGGATGAACGTCAAAAAAGGCCAAACCCCGTGTGAGAGGTGTAACGTGTCCTTGAACCTAATTAGAGTCCAGCGCATGCGCCCTTAACGCGCACAGTGATCTGGCTTATCTGTTTGCTTTGGCCCCTCCCCTCCTTATGCTTAAACAACAGTCAGTTTACAGTCTGATGGTCACTGAACTAGATTTGAGGGAACTATTGCTATAGTGCACAACTACCATGAGATTAGCCTTGTATTACGAGCAGGCTTAAGCTTAATGGTCAACACCCCACGTTCCATCTCAGCTACCAAGGTAGTCGACATACTCCAAATGCTCTACATGTTTTAAACCGTATCAATATCAAACTGATTTACCAAGACCACACTCTATACAACTACACAAAACAACAAAGAGGCAAGCCCAAATTCAGGCACTTCTTTTCCCTTTAGCTTCTGACCACAAACGTTTGACATATTTTATAGTCAAAGGAGTCTTCTATTCTCACATGATAAAAACTTAATTTTCATCCAAATTTTTTATGTAAATTGATTGAGGTGGGAGGGGAATTATGAAGTGTTTTAAGTAAGCTAGTCATAAAATACTTGTGTGGACATCATGTTTTCCTGCTATCATATGATGTAGGTACTTTCCCCACATTGTTCCTGTGACATCTTGGAGACAGAAAAAAAATGTGACTGTAAAAGTTTAAATCAGGAGTCACCACCACCCACTATTACATGCCAGGGAAAAACACCAGCTGACTCAGATACAGCATTCCTGTTGTGGTTGCATTATAAAGCCAAAGTGAATCGTTTCCTTCTGCAGCCCAGGGTACACAACAAGCACAACTTCTGTCTAAACTGTGGAGACATCTGTCATTGCATCCTATTTGTTTGTCGCTGAAAGAAAAGTCTATAAGGACACAGCAGCTGTTTCTCGGTTACAGTTTCAGTAGGACAGAGAAAATAATAAGAGCATCATGCACCAATAGTTCTAAAGTTCAGTCACATTATAATGAATTAGACCTAGGCTAAGTTTAAAAATGCAGAACATATGGAACAGGGCCCAGTGAGTATCAGGGATTAAAAATATCTATCATTTGCACTTTAAATTACACATTTATTGTGCTTGGACATCTAATTGACGGTACATATTCAGTTGCTTTGTATGGTAAAATGTTTTGAAATGCCAAACAGATAAATGTAGCAGCTAGCAAGCCATAAAGAAAATGCATCTGCATGGGGCTTATTGACACCCACTTAGCTAACATGTTAGTCTTACTTCTGCACGGTATGCAATAACGAAATGCATAACAGCACCTACAATTATGCCTTTTAATATATTTTATCATGAGTTAGTTTGGGGTTTTTTGCGTTAGCTTCCTTGCAGCCAGCAGAATTGTTTACTCTGGCTACAGGTGTGTGATTAGCGTTATGTCATAGTTGCTGTTATCTAACTGCAACTTAACCTTTCAGTTAGAACACTGACATTTAATAACCTCATAGGTGTTTGTTGAATTTCGTCAACGGACACGGTTAAAATGCGCTCGCGACACAAAGTTATTAAAATGGTGCAGCTAGCGTTACTCACTGAGTCAGTTGGCACAGCAACAGAAGTCTTGACTGACACGACGATGCACAGTGATGACTCCTATGCAGCTCCTTCCGGGATATTTACAGTCAGCAAGTTGCGATGTCAAGCTATCTTGTGCAACACCTGAGACGGGTAATTTGCTAGCTACCTGGATAAACACAAGAAAGGGCAAAACGTGACATGCTAGCGTTAGCTACCCTAATGCTGCCCAGCTAATAGTTAGCAAGATGATGTGCTTTCCTCGCAGAACCAACGGCGATGTCTTGCTTTAACTACACCTTCAGCAGTTCAAGATAGCTATTGAGCAACAGTCTCGATACCACTACTGATAGTGCTAGCCTAGCAGCTAGTTTCTGTCGAGATAACTTCCATCCAACCCTGTTCCACGAATAAAAGGCAGGAATTTCGCCATTGCTTACAGGCTTGGTGCGCATGCGCATTAGAACAACTTATGCTGATTTCCCAAATTCCAAAATAGCGATTACATGTTTTAGAAATGTCCCTAAATCTAAATATGTGTTTCTGATGTTGGGCATGCTTATTATGCAACAGAATCTAAATGAACCGTGTATGTTTACCTATATTTGACATACTTTGAGGAAGAGCGTACGGTTGACGTGTCTGTAACAGGTTCGTCCAAGTCAGCCATAGACAAATAAGTAGAGGGGAGAAAACTGCATATGCCACGTGTTTCATTGACCCTGTAAAGCTTAATTTTGCAACGTTTTTTCTTGATGTCATTAGCCAACTCAAAAACCGGATCTGCGTTTTCAGCCTATTGTTCTTTTTTTTTTTTTTACCTTTGTGGACTACCATACAGCAGCACATTGATCTTAGAGTAATGCATATAGAAACGGCTAGATATAAGGAGCTAGGAATAAATCCATACAGTATATTAATTCCAACGTGGCCTATCTATCTATCTATCTATCTATCTATCTATCTATCTATCTATCTA